AGCCCACCAGGGCTTTTTTCGGTTACCTTAATGGCCAGTCCGCCCCTGATTTATCAGTGTTAATCTGCTGTAGCAAAAGCAATTTTATCCTCCCAACAATCCTGAGAAATAGGTTAGGCTGAGTGTGTATGGTTAGCCCAAGGTCATCCAGCAGGTTTTCCCAGTGTTCATATAAAAGCAGTAGACATATCTGGTTAAAAGCTATGGGTTGGATCCAAGTATTCCTTTCCTGTATTTACCTAATACATTTTTATCCTCTTCGAGGAGCTCAGGGTGGCACACATGGCTCTCCCTTCTACAGTTTATCCTCACAATAATACTGTGAAGTAGGGTAGGCTGAGAGAAAGAGTCTGGCCCAACATCATCCAGTAAGCTTCATGACTGTGTGGTGTTTCCAACCCAGGTCTCACGTATCGGTCAACCCTAGGGTTACAGTCTAGCCCCATTAAAAGTAAAGTGATGTGTCATATTATTTACATAGGGCCAACCTAAGCATTACATTTTGATGAAGTGTTTACACTTTCCCCACTGTTATGCAGCAGCTGTGGGGAAAGGCATTTTTAAAATCTCAGGAGACTGATTTGCTTCAGGACAGTGTTGCGGAGGAAGGGAGTTTCCTACCTTCCTCCTGCAGTGCAGTTCCAAAGATGGGCAAATTATTGCCCATTTCAGCTTGGGGAAATGTCATGGTGGGGAGGAAGGAGCCTTTCCCCGCGGCTGCTGTGTGACTGGGAAAAGTGAGTTGGGCCTGGGGAACCTGGATTCTGTTCACCAAAAAATGTAACATGTAGTTTGTCTCTTGGTCATAGTGACCTTATGTACACAGCAAACACAGTGCAAAGGGTCATTTGTCCACAAAGTAGTTTGCAAATTTGTGTTAGGTAGGCACCAGTTTGTATCGAATTGTTTACTTTGGCTTGCTAAATTTTAGCTTGATGAAAAGAAAAATGACTGATGACAGATTTTGAATAGTAGAAACATGTAATTGTGTTTGTGTAGTTTCTTTTTGTGGGCAGTGGTGACATCAGCTAAATATATCTGTGTGCAGCCTGTTATTTGTGCAGAGTATGCTAAATGTTAACAGAAACAAAGCCTAAAAAGAGGAGGAAATTAAATAAGATTATATATATGTAATTTTGAGGCTTTGATTTAGGTAGACAAAAGCCAGAACATTCAGTATATGAGCTTGTATTTGTCCCAGCATGGAAATAATAAAAGCTACATAATAGAAAGGTTTAAGAATGGATTTTGAATGTCCTGACTCTTTACAATGATTTCAAGTAATATTTTGTATTTAACTAGGAACTGAAACAGGGAAGACCTTAAACAAACATATCAGGAATTTAAAAAATAAATTAGTGAGCAATTTTCCAGTGCTTTGTCACAATCTGTTTACTTAAGCCACTAGTAAGGTTCTTTCTGAACACTTCTGCTCTAGTTGTGCTAAAAATCTGAAATTACATTACTTTCCATATGATAATACTTAACAAAACCTCATACTTTGAAGAATGCTGAATTTGCCTCAAAAATGTATGCTGAAGTCAGTATGAGCTGGTGGTAATGCCAAGGCATCTTCTTGCTTGCATTAAAGCGAAAAGGTTCATCTTAGGCTGCGATCATACAAACTAAATAAACTACTTTCTATTCCCTTTCAATGCACTTCCCAACTGGATTTTACTGTGTGAACTGGCAAAATCTAGTTGGAAAGTGGATTGAAAGTGGATCGTTTAGTGTGTGTTAATGCATTGGCTTTTCCCTCCGTTGTTTTAGCGAACCCACCTTGGAACAGGAGTTCCCCTCTGCATTGCATGCCGCTTTCACTTTCTTTGATCATCAGGTTTTATAGTACCTTCTGCATAGATTTAGGGCCATTCAGGGGTGACTTCGCAGTCTATAGGGCATATTTGAATGTGGTTTTGAGCTGCACTTTTTCCTCAGTGTTGAGAAAATGTGGAGCGAATGCCAGATGCAGAATCACTCACAGTCTTGACTGTAGAATCAGGTGAGTAGCAGTGTTAGTTTGAAGCAGCAAAATAAAGTTTGAGTCCAGTGGCACCTTTAAGACCAACAAAGGTTTTGTTGGTCTTAAAGGTGCCACTGGACTCAAGTCTTGACTGTGTCTCTCATTACCAACTGTTTAACCCTTTACATTCTGAATATACAGTACTCTTACAACTAGGGCATACCCTAGTGAAGCTGGCAGTGCAGTGTCCTGGATTCTTTTGTGCTATTAGCATAATACTTTTGTTGTTGTCACAAAGAAATATACCTCGTTGATCCATAGAATCTATCCTTAAGTATATATTTCATTTTGAGCTTGATTGGGTTCCTTTCTGTGTGCCCATTTCTCAGAGAATCGTGGGCTAAATGGACTCTCACCTTTATACTGTATCACTCGCCACCTTCTCTCAAAGTTCTCAGCATATTTATTTGTTTATCTGCGATCACCCAGCTTTGAAGATGCACATAGTCTCTGTTTTAGGAATAGTTCAATGCTTGATTTTTTTTAGGTTTGCTCAGTTTATATTGGCCCTCAAATTGGATTGCTTGTTCAATAATTTAAAGCCTGTATGCTTCAGTTGCACCATGTTAACCAGAAAATCAGATTTGTAATTTTTTCCCCTCCCCTCTTTGGCATTCTGAGAAGCCCTGGTTTGCCTTAGCATTTAGTGTGCCTTGCCAAGCCAAAATGAATGCTTACAAGTTACAACCACCAGAAAAGACTGACTGCAGCTGCATCCATCACAGGAAGATCTTTTCTTATGTTTTGTTTTAGTAGGTCTGTTTGCAGCAGTGTAGACTTATGGGAAATTCAGTAAGCTAGTTTACCCTTTTTTCTGGATAGGAGAAATCTATGGAACAGTCCTGGAGATCAGTCTTCTACATTGCAGAGGGATTAGGGAGATATTGAAACACAAGCTGATCTTCTACAACATAACTACAAAACTTTTTTTTGCTAGAGAAAGACCATATGATTCTTTTATCCCTCAGAATTTTCATTTGTAAAAATCAACGCTTTCTTTTCATTTTGTTTTATTTATAGGCTTTGAAATTTTATATATGCGCTTTGAAATTTTAGTAGAAAAGAGATGTATATATGGCTAATTATTATTAAGAAAAAATCCAAGGTTATTGCTTTAGCAATTATATAGATTCCAGTTCAATGTCACAATCTTTATCTTACAAAAGATTTTATCTAACATTTATCAGATTATAAATCCTATGCAAATCACAGAACTCTTTTATCTCAGTTAATTTATTATATATTTGATTTATGCCTTGATTTATATTAGTTAAGAGGTCTGAATGTAGGAGAGGAGAGCCAAATGTGCTGCCCTGAGTTCCTTGGAGGAAGGGCAGGATAACTTGTACACAAAATTAACTAGGCAAAATTATATATTACATGTCTTTTTGTGGAAAATTAGTCCAGTTTTTCTTTAAACTAAACTATCCTAGATTTGGATATAGTTTTAATGTTAGGTCACAATTATCTTCTTCTAAAAAAGGAATAGACAAGTATTCCTTTTCCAACATCAGTTCATAGAGAGAACTTTTAGAAAGGAAATTTATTTTTCAAAGGTTCTGTAAATTCCCAGCGGTATTTTATTTGCAATTAACTACACATTTGCTGATTTTTTTTCTCCTTTTCCTTTCATAATGACAACCAAGCAAACACAAAGTATCTGTTTATAGGCTGCCTTTCTCACTGAAAGTGAATTACACAATGTAATCAATGGGATGATACAGCTGATAAGCAATATAAGGACTAGGAATTGTAGAAGTTTGAAATGGAGTTGGCATCTGAACAAGGCATAAGAATTAAACATAACACATTGGACAGTTATAATATTGCTATAGTGTTATATAATTGTATATCATAGTATTAGTATATTAGCAAGACCATAGTGAGGAACTTTTTGTTTCATGATTGGCCTTGGACTAATGGAACTGTTTGTTGCATCAGTTAGTAGTCCTAAACAGTTGCAAGAGCCTTGAGAGAGCATTATACATGAGTAAACATAAGGTATTCCACTCAGAGATTCTGAAACAGACTGGTGAATTCTAACCTGGATGTTTTTACTTCATTTCGGGATATTACATATGCAAATGAGCCAATTCATGAATTAAAATCCTTGAAACCCATTATTTAAAAAGACCTCACATTTTATATCAACTTAGAAAATAAATGTGTGTTATCCAATGAGTTTGACACATTTTTGCCTATGGACTGATTTTGAAAGATGCATTTACACAGTGTCCTTTGTACTGCATCTACTCGGATTGGGTGGTCTCCAATCCGTGAGTCGTCCTCAGATAGCTTATACCATATTTCATTTATGAATATAGTGTGTCAAACTAGTGAATCACCTATTAAAAGCTACTTATACTTATCAAATAGCATATCTCTTACTGAAATTTTAAGGGCCTGTTACTCTAACCTTGTCCTACTTGTGTCGAGTAGGGATGAACCTGAAAGGGAGGAAGAAAAGGATAACACAACCACCCTGGACTGGGGAAAATACTTAGTTTGTAACTAACTATTGTACCCCTAAAGTAAGTGAAAGCTGAAATGCTTTTCATGCTTTTTGGTATTCATTGACCAATTGGGGAAAATCAGGACACAACTGTATTGATTACAGGTTCCTCTGGTCTTATCACAACATAGGCTAGGGACATTTGGTGCAGCTGACAGCCCAACTGCTGATAGCTAACCTCACACACACACACACACTTGATACAACCAGCTATCCCAGATGGACTGAAGCCTATGTTTAATAGGACTTATTTTATAAGTGCTTAAAATCTATTGATTCATTTAAAATGTGAATGCTAAAAAAAAGGAAAAATATTGTTTGCATGCCATTCCATCTTTCTGATGATATATATTTATTTATGATGATATACATTTTCTTGTAAAGCTGCCTTCTATACCAATTTGCTCTACAGGTACTGTATATGTTTATTCTGTCTAAAAGTATTCCATCTGCTTATCTTTTTAGGTTTAGTACATCATGTCTGTAATCTTCTAATAGAAACCGCCACTCTGTGCTTGGATGTGGATGATAAAAGCAACATCAAGACAGCAAATGCATTGCTCCTCCTCTTGCTTGACATTTTGCACCACATGCTGATACATACAGCTAATATTATCCGTCTGACATTACAGGTATAGAGTCTATTTTCTGGTAGAATGAGCACCATTGTACAGATCTTTAGTCTTGTTGCTGTTGTTCTTATTGGATTCTACACTAAAAACTCTCCAAAGTTAAACAGATTCTTTGAACAAGTGACACATTTGATGTTTTTACAGACAATGGCTGTCTGTACATTTGAGGGTTTTTTTAAAAAAAAACAGCTATACTTTTTTTATAACTTGAGCAGTAAATACCCACAGTGGGTATGCTAGATTTTAAATAGTCTCTTTATCTAGAAAGTTTTGAACGATTGCACGTTTTGCTATGTGCCTGAAACTTTGCATATTTCATTTTATGCTTTATCATGAAGTCACTTAATGTACAAAAGCAATCAGAAATATCCCATTTGTCTCCCTGGGAGATGGCTATTGTTTCTGTCATGATATAATCTTCTCAATAAAATGTTATCTTTCTTTTAAATTGCACCTTCATAGTAAATGACTGTGGCTTGTCTAAATGGTTTTTGAATGAGTACAGATGTACTGCCCACATATATCCATATTGTCTAATCTGAGTGAGATAAATAGCTCCAGCTCATACTAGTCCTGACTCCTGAGCTGCCTGGTTGATCTGAGATGTAGCCCATGGTGATCTTATAGTGTAGGTTGTGCTGTCTACTAGCTGTGAAAACTGCATGAAAGGTACCTGTTTTGGTGAAAGATATTCCACCCTAGATAGCTGGGTAAAAATTTACAATGTTGCAAAGTACCTGTTAAGTTTGCACTCTGTGAACGTTCAGATGTTAAAGTACCTTTCCAGCTAGCTAAAAGATTGTAGATCAGGATTTTCTATCCAGCTTGCAATCTGCCAAGGTAGTGGGATGTAAATTCATATGTTGATGGAAGTAGCCAATGTAATCAATGATGGCTACAGGGAGCAACCTGGTAAATTTCCATTAGGTAGGATGGTAGGAATCTGATAGGCTATATAAGCAAACATTTGACCTTTGTGTCAGGGAGAGAAAGACTTGGGAACTCTTGGGAGGGAGAGCCTCAAGGAAGGAGGGCAACAAAATAGCAAGGAAAGAGAGAGAGAGAGGAGAGATGGGTCGAACCTGGACAGAAATCAAAAGTCATTGTTTTATTGTTAGAAGCATAGTAACCTAATTTGTGTGTCATGTGTTTCGTAAACACACACAAACATTTATATTTCCTTTTTCTTGTGTCCCCCTTCTGTTCCTGCCAGTAACCCCCTTCTAGAAGCTCTAAGAGTTCTGCAGAACAGTACTTTAAGAGGCATGATACAATGTATCTGAATGAAAAACATTGCTTACTTGCACCCGCTATGTAAATGCTGGATCATCTGGCATACTCTCTTAGGCCTTTCTGATGCCAACCATGATCAGTTGTTTAGGTTTTGGACTGTACCATATTAGACTGCAGATAAGGCATCAAATATTTGAATTAATGTTGTCCTACATAAAAGTTCCCTATATATATATATATATACAAATCTAGTGTGTAGAGGTAAAGATTCTAGCCCTGAGCTGTCAAACATGCAGCCCGAGGGCCAGATCAGGCCCCTGGAGGGCTTCTATCAAGCCCACAGTGGAACTGGCTGTCTTCTGCTGCTTCTTCCAGTTCTGCTGCTGCTGCTGCATCATCATAGGTTTGCAGCTTATGAATACACACCTGAACAGCATACTCAAGATTGCAACAGCACAGACATTTTGATGCAATAATTCAGAGCAAGAGGTGTCAGTTATCAGACACTGTTAAATAAACAAAATATTGCAAGAGTGCTAATGTTTTAAGTATGTGTTTATTTTAAGTTAAAAAAACACCTTGTGTGTCCTGGCATTACATTTTATGACACACATGGCCCAGCCTAACAAGGTCTAATTTATGTCACATCTGGCCCTCATACCAAATGGGTTCGACACCCCATACTTCTTCCTGACTTGTTATGTTCTGAATGTACAGAGAGGTTTTTGTTTTATTTGTTTAACATGACAGAACTTTCAGTCCTTCCACCTACCATCCATAATGGTATATTATGATATATACATCACATGAGCCTAGCAATTGTATTTTTTTCCTCTTAGACTTTGAATTAAGTACATTAAAAGTTTGATGGGAATTATATTTAACATCTCATTAGAGAACAAACTGTTGGACTGTTTGTTCAAACTAGTCATAAGAGGTTGTGCTTTTTGAATGTGATTATTTTAAGAACAACAAACACCTTGGAACTTAACACCTTGCAAATGAAGTAAATACTTAGCAACAAATAGAGCCCAGTCCTGAAGTGTTGGTGGTGATGATCTCTGAATGCTTTCTTCCAAATATTTTAATGATTTTTCCCCTTATTAAGGCACAAAAATCTGGTACAGGAGGGGACACTCAAGCTGCTGAAGATCTCCTTATTATTAATAAGCCACTGACAGACCTAATTAGCCTACTTATTCAGTTGGTAAGAATTTCCTTGATCTTAAGTCTGTTGAAAAGTTCACTGTTTTGGATTTTTAATTTACCTATCTCAAATATTCCAGTCAAATTAATACACTATACCAGTGTTACTAAGAGATTAAGATAAACAGGTAACTGCATGTGACTAAATTTTGGCAGCTGTAGTAAAATCACATAATTCTGGTAGCAAATCTTAGGCTTTCCTTTTAGTGTGTGATGGCTCACAGTTTGTGACTTTTGTCATGGAAACGGTGATTAAGAAGACTATCCCAGTGCCTCAGTTATTCCAAAGTAACCCTCCCTTGTCTTTATCTTGCCTATCACAAAGAAGAGCCCTGTCCACTCCCTTAACCATAAACTCCACCTAAGATTTTATTGTTTACTCACAGTCTAACACTAGCTTGAGCCTTAAGGGATCTGTTGCTTCCTTCACCAATTATTTCCCTTTGCTTAAACTTAATCTTGGTTAGTCATTAAGTTTCATTAACATTTGCCATAGTTACTACAAACTCGGTGGCAATCTAAACTCAAGGTTTAGATAAATTCCACTTTGTGACAATCATTAAGGAAAAGTACAAACAGAAATGACCTGTCAAGTACTACCAGCTCTATGGAAATTATCCTAAGCATTTGATCCAATCAAGGTCCTGTTGGCCCAATAGTCTATCGTTGTGACTTAATCTGGCTGAACTAAAAAAACTCCCAGGAACGTTAGCTTTTGTCCTAATTAATTTTACTCCCAAAGCCGACCCTTTCCTGCCTTCTTTTTCTGGAAAACCCTCCTAGGCATACCTCCTGCCACCTCAAAATCTCCCCCTACCCCAATCAGAAAATTCACTTCTGAATTCTCCTGGCTTCTCCCACCTCTCTGCCAGCTCAGGAGAATCAGATTTTTGTTCCCTGTGATCTCTGGCCCCTATAACAAGCTGGCTCTCATCTTTACAATGATGTACACCTGGGATCATGACTGTGTAACCTGAGATTCTAGTTTTGTTGCTGCCCCTGGTCTTACTTGACATGCTTTCCTTGCTAGATTGTGTCTGTATTACTGTCTGAATTGCAGCCAAATTGGGGGGGCAGGTCTTCTTTTAGTCTTTATTTTTGTGGTGAAAACAGCATACTCCCCTTTAAAACGCTATTAATGGGGGGTCAGTTTCAGCTAGCAAAACCAACTGGTGTTTGAAGGGTTGAATCCCCTCTTCCCTCCTTTTGTTCCACCAGTCCAAATCAGGACTGTGTACGTTTAATTTGTCCTTTACAGAAATATGCAGTCTGTGTCACATCTGCATGTTCTTGTGCTATCCATAATTTTCTGAGACATTCATCTCATTAACTTTTTTATTTCTAGCTTCCATCTGAGGATACTGAAATATATGAGAATACCTCACAGTGCTTGTCATTGTTAGTTCAGCTCTATGGTGGGGACAACATGGACAGTATGTCTCCAGAAAACATGGACAGCTTTGCTGAAGTGCTGCAGTGCAAGAAGGAAAGGAAAGATCAAAAGCTTTTGTTGAGAGTCATCAAAAGACTGGTAGGTCAACTATTTCATCATTATCATAAAGTAGTTATAGTGCCAGCTATCATATCTATATACTATGGTGTATAAATAACATTATTTTTAATTAGATAGTTCTACTTACAGAAGTTTAATCCTGCTTGATTCCAAGTTGTGTGGTGGCTAGTTTGTGTGTCTGTTTTAAAAGCTTGGTCCTCTGATAGTTTGTGTATTTGTTTTAAAAGTTTGGTCCTCGACGGAGAAAATCTCATTGTATTAGAGGAAAGTTTAAGATTTGGCTGAGCAGAGTGGTAGGACACAAGACCAAGTACATGAAAAGGTTCTATAAGTGTCTAAATCTGGGCCTCGCTGATGTCTTGGACTACTGAAATGTGAAATAAAGATTCTAAAAGATGCGAACAGCCACTTTGTAGGCCATTTCCACACAGGTTATTTACCCTGGGTTCAATGCCGATTTTGTTTGTTAATTTGTTCAGGATTTCCATGACTTTTCTCCAGTCTTTCCCAAACCTGGTTTGCTGCAAAGTTTTGGGAAATATCACAGCAAAGCCTGGATGGCTGCCATGTGGTTGGGTTTTCCCTAGTCCAATCACATGGCCGCCATTGCCCTGTCCCTATGGTGGCCATTTTCTCACCCTGGCACTGGAGGACGTTTTAAATCAGCAACTGAATATTGGTGAAACAAATTTGTGCACCAGTTTCTCTAAATGCCCAGCTTTCATTTTTATTTTTTGAAAGGAGGTCTATAGCCCCTTTCATTGTACTGATATAAAAGGAAAGGCATATCTCTGCAGCAAAATGGGAGACTTACTTTTTAAATGACAGCTGGGAAGTCAGATAACTTGTTACACAGATTGTCATAATGATATTTATTTGCTGATAAAAATCTGGGAAAGCCTAAGTGGTGCATGGGGGGGAGGTGGCACTGCCAGGGGAATAAAGAAGGGAAACTAATTACAGTGAAACCTGCCATGTAGAAGCCCTGATGCCATGGCATTGTATTAGCAGTCACAACAGGAGAACTACACAAGCCTCTTCCCGAGTGGAAAACACAATAATATGTAATAGGCGTAGGCCATTCAGGTTTTTTAACTTGGCTCCTCTGAAACAGGAAAGATTTTTCTTTTATTGTTTAATTCATTTTCCTCGAGAGAACGTGCCTGCCATTAAATCCATGCTTACCTTAGATTAGGAGTGAACAATTCATGCTATGCATTAGAGTGCCCTTTTATTTTTTTTAGAAAGGTCAGTATCCAAGATTATTAGATGATCATAATATAACAAATATGTAACCATTTGGGGGCATCAGTTGAAGGGAGCTAGCTAGCTTCATATCCCACGTGCACAAGAAAGTCTCATGCTGCCTGCCTGCAGAACCAGAAACAGCATAGTACCATGAGAATGCAGATAAATGCTTGTTTCTGTATGTCTGTGGTCTCCAAATGTGCCAATCTAGGCAGTGTAGCCCTGCACTCCATGCTCTTCCCCCTTCCCATTTGTCATCACATTCTTACAGCTGATAACTCTGCATTCATAGTTTATATGTACAGTACAATAGTAACATGTGAATAATGATGAATGTTTCTGGTTCTTCTAATGATATTGTGCCAGAGGCTGTTTTCTTGCCTGTGGCAAAAGTTCTTTTCTAATGGATTTGGGTGGTCAATGAACAAAGAACACTCAGCAAGGCGATGAGCTGTGGTAACACAAATACACTTTAATTGCAGAAAGGAACACAAACCACGATATACATAAAGACATCCTCACATCCCTTTAGTCGCTGGGGGCTTCTTACAGCAGCAACAGTTTCCAGCAGCAACAGGTCTCCAGCAAAGCCCCAAAGAAGCCCCTTTGCTACTGTCCTCTTCCTCTTTTATATCTTCTTAGGTGCAGCCTCCTAGCCTGAGTATCACCTGGCAGGCATGCTAAGTCAGGTTCTAGTGCTTGCACTGGGCATCCCCTTATTAGGAAGGGAAATGATCCTGGCTGCCACTTGGAGGAACCTAGCTGCCAGTATGCTCTAAGCTCAGATAAGGTTCCATGACAACACCATTCCCCTACTCCTCTTCCACGATGGCACTACAAATGACTGTACAAGGCGTGCATATTTAATCATGATTCATAAATTAAAATTGTGTATGTTTTGCGAATTCTTTAGAAACGTGTTATTTATTCAGATGGCTGGAGAACATGATTAGAATATGAATTATCAAGGTGTCTGAATAAATAAGGAACTTGAAAAGAGCCTGGCTGTGGGTCCATCTAGTCTAGCATCCTGTCTCACACAGTGGCCAACCAGTTTCCCTGGAGTTCCAACAACAGGATGGGGGCTGAGACCTTCCCTTGATGTTGCCTGCTGGCACTGGTATTCAGAGATTTACTGCCTCTGAATGTGGAGGTTCCCTTTATTCGTCATGCCTTACTGATAAACCTATCTGTAAGCAGCAGACCAGCCAGAGCCTGCTAACGAGGGGGAGGGGCCCACAAGAGCAGAGGAGGCACTTAACAGAGGTGAGAGAACAGCTGGGGGCTGGACTGATGGGGGCAAGGGGTGAACTTTGGAGGAAGAAAGAGGAAGAGGGACAGCCCAGCGGAGGTGGGAGAGAACCATCCTCAGAAGAAGAGACACCGGCAGAGTTCAGAGAGGGACCAAGATGGCAAACAGCTAATGATGGAGATGCTGGGGAGGGGCCTCTCTCCAGTGTCAGAGGACAGACTACTAAGCAGCCAGGAAGGGTGTGGCCACCCAGAACAGCCAATGGGGACACCAAGCCAACGGGAGTGCAGGCTTCCCAGGACTCAGGTTGGACTTGAGGGGGAAGGGGCTCGCCCAAGGCTGCAGGATTCACTCTGGGGAAGCAGAGACAGGACTGGGCACTGTAAAAGGGTTGGATGAGGGAGCGCTGGAGATAATAAATAAACAAGAGACACATGGCATGTGATGACCCTCGCAGCTGGATGCTTTAGGGACTTCCTGCAGCTCCTCCAGGGCTGAAGCCATTAATCTCTCACACTACCCTCCATGAATCTGTCTAATCCCCTTTTAAAGCTGCCTATGGTTGTGGCCATCATTAAATCTTCTGGCAGCAAATTCCACATTTTAATCACTCATTATATAAAGAAATATTTCCTTTTATCCATCCTGAATCTACTGACCATCAGCTTCACTGGATATCCTCAAATTCTAGGATTTTGGAAGAGGAAGAAAAAGATCTTCTTCGTGGTCTCTGTGCTTCACACCAATGGGTTTAGTGCGCCTGCGCTGACCCGACCGGTGCTGTAGCAAGCTATGTTTCAAAGGATTTTCGCGCGGGTCCCACTGAGCATGCGCAAGAACCCCAGCACGCATGCCCAGA